GGCTATATTATCCGCATTTTACAACATTTCGCAACGAAACTTTGGAATATTACTCATTTTGTGATGCTCTTTCAAGCTGTGATGAAATTTTTGTTGAGATCAAAATTTAATCTATTACGCAATTGGTCAATTGACCAAGAAAAAACTGCACAAAAAAGATGAAAATAATTCTAATAGTCATAAATTATTAGTAAAAATATTCCAGCATTGAGGACAGCTGCCTACTTAAACCACAGCCCCTTACATAAAAAAGATTACGAAAGCGTTGCTTGTGTAGGTGAAGTTAGAACTACACAAATTGTCTGCCTTAGCAGATGGAGTTTATTTTTTGGTTTATTGCAAATTATTTTGTGTGTTTAAAGAAAGTGGTCAACCACAGGAGCCATTGGACCATCAATTCCTTGCTAAAGAACTCAATATTACTGAGGACCACACTACGTCTTCAGTGTAAGTATGGTACTGGTAGTTATTACTGTAACTTATTATCTTTTGACAAAGTTCACAGGATGAACTGTTGAAGCATATTGGCTTGATGTAGTACTTCGGCCACATAGTATGCAGACGAAGTATAGTTTTCTTTTTTTATAATTTTTTTTTCGTTGAGAAATTGACTTTACTCCCGGAATGTTCTGCGTCACTATATCTTCATATGAAATGAAGACGAATGTAGTCCTGTGTGCGCACGCATCATTTTACAACCTGCCCGACAAAACCTTCATGCATCAAGAGATTTTGTTTTTCCCACAGACCTTTATTATACGGAATGCTGGCACATTTTTTGAAAGGAAACCATCACAGAAACGAGCTAAAACCTCAAACTGGACTCAAACATAGTGATGATATTTATCCAAAGTCAGATTGTAAGTATACCGCTGGACTCTTGGTATATGAACTGCAATGAAGGGCAACCAAGTCCATGAAATTGGTTTTCCGCTCATATTTAACTCAACATGCCTGGACGCCGTATATTTTAAAACTAAAGGCCATGTTACACTGTGCAATTTTTCTTGCAACTTGCAATGCAATTGTTCTCTTGAGAGATGTTAATTAGTGAAATCAGTCAAGAATTTTCGATATGTTGAGAAAACATCAGCGGAGTGTAATGAAGACTCGTATGTGGCAATTTTACATCTCTCAAGAGTAGAATTGCATTGCAAGTTGCAAGAAAAATTGCACCGTGTAACTAACATGGCCTTAAGTATACAGTATCATTTTTGCAAAAATATAATAAACTTTAGCAAGCTTCCGCACGTTTTGGGGGGGTACATGGGCTATACTGCTGTAGAGTGTAGGTGATATTTTGTAGAACTGCATTTTGAGGCGTCCGCATGACATGGTCATACCACCATATTTGTACTTTGGTGGTTTCATATGGTTGTAAAGATTGAGTCGCGATCTTTCTCATCAGCCGAAACACAATATTTTAGAACTGAAAATACGCGGAGTATACTTACAGTATGATTCATATGTGGTTTACAGGTATAATCTATTATAAACTGGCCGTTGAGAAAGATCGTGACTCTTAACTTTTACGACCATATATGAAACCAGGCTTAAAATACCTTTCTCAGTTCTTTGCATTCTCAGGCTGTACCAAAGCTTCTAGCGTCTTTCCTCGACCAGAATTTCTGCTTCAACCCGCTGTCGCTTTCACAAATAAACTTTTCTTGATGAACCAGACGGCGCTAACGTTTTTTCCCTTCTGGTTTTTTGCACCTCGTGGTTACGCTTGAACAATTCTTCACATACAAAACACAACCCAGCAAAATGCTCTCAAAATCTTACAGTTCAAACATTTACACCCATCTGTGGAGCTGGGCCAAAGCTTTCTAACTCCTATACGGCCGATGGTTCTTTCAATGCAGTACTTCGTTGTTTTACTTCGAGAATAACAGCCACAGTTCTTGTACGAGGACGCTCAAGAATTTCGAACAAGGGAGTATCCCGCACTACGGCATTAAACATTCACCAAAGTTTTAACTGCATCGTCTGCTCTCCCGAGGGAATTATGATAGCAATATTCAAATTCTAACAATGAGGCCCCGTTTACATGAGACCATGCAGGACGAAGTCAAACGGGAATGAAAATTGAAATCATCAACATGTTTACATCAGACCGGTACGAAAATCAGAAAATTTTCAATTTATTCCCCTTGCCAGGCAAATTTCTTTTTTAGATGGCTTTTGTTAGCATGTGTTGTTCGAATGTCAAAGTTACAGCCGAGACCGGTGTGAAATATGTATTTGTGTTTACATTCATCCCAGTCTAAAGTCAGTCGGCTCAGTCCAGCAGGCGGAATGACTTGAAACCGGAGTTATTTTCGTCCTGGTCTCATGTAAACATCTATTATAAATTATACTATGACCGAAACGAAATGGTCCTGGTTTGCGGGCTTCGTTCCGGTCCCATGTAAACGGAGCCTAATTCGCGAGAATTAAACTTTTTGAAGTGAAATTGATAATCTAAACAATTAACGGCCTCAAATCACAGTTATAACTTTTCTATTTAGACAACGATCAAGACGGACACTCACGCAAGCCAGCCTCGATCAGTATAACCAGTGGCAAAAGGTGACACAAAAATACTTCACTTGGCACATGTTCAAATCCAGCGACACTCTTACTATAGAGTATAGTGCATGGTGGTACTTGATCAACGGGCCTGTCGGGCAGACTCACGATTTTTCGTGTGTAAAAATTCATAACCGAGATAGGAAATGTTCAGAAAAGCTTGAAATATGAAAATGGTTGTGTAATCACTTGTACATCATCGTATTTAATAAAATAGGAAAGACTTTTGACTTCTGTAATTTGCTTTATTATGCTCGCGATCATTATCGATCTTTTTGAAATACTATAAAATTTGGATGAACATTGCCAATGGAATGCACCTCTGCCAGGAAATTTTTAACAACAAACTATCTTTGCAGGAAATTTGAAACTATCTCTGCAGGAAATCATCTTATACACACGTAAAAATCTCACATCTTGTAGCAAGTCTGCCAACAAGTCGTCAACAAGTTGTATTCGCACTGCTTGTCACAAGTTGTCAACAAGTTTGGAACAAGCTGTTAACAACTTGTAACAACCTTGTCGATATCAGACTTGTTGCAAGGTTGTTCCAACAAGTCCGATACAGTCATATAACAATATTAGGGCCATTTATACGAGACAAAATAAGACGCGACTTACATAAGACGCGACTTAAATAAGCGGAGTTATCGCATAAATGGTTCTCTACGGCTTTATTCTTATTTACTTGCTATAGCTATAATGTTGTTACGGTTGTTTTTGTTTTAATATGCAAGGCTAATAATTGTACGTTGTTTCAAGTTTCGGGCATGTGTAGTTAGAATGTTTGTCCAAAATTTCTTATTTAAGACGCGACTTACATAAGAACAGCTAAAAGTCCTGTTCTTATTTAAGTCGCGTCCTATCCAAGACGCGTCTTACATAAGAATTTTGTGCCTTTTATACGACAAACTCGCGTCTTATTTAAGTCGCGTCTTATGTAAGTCGCGTCTTATTTTGTCTCGTATAAATGGCCCTAATGTTACGACCTTGTGTCGTCAACCGTGTAACATGTTTGTTATATCATGGCTGTATCAGACTTGTTAGAACAACCTTGTAACAAGTCTGACAATGCCATCAAGCTTGTTACAAGTTGTTAACAGCTTGTTCCAATCTTGTTACAACAAGCAGTGCGAAGACAACTTGTCGACAGTTTGTGAACAGATTTGCAACAACTTGTTTGCAGACCGCCTGCAACAATTTGTGCGTTTTTACGTCAGGTACATGGTGGAATGCCATCTAATTTATACGTGTTGCTTAAAACTTCGCGTTTTGCTTATCACACAATGTACGTGCGGCACCCAACTTTCTCAGAAATCCACATATGCAATAAGTTTTAATTTGACTTATTCAGGAAAAATTTTTATTTTTGATTCTGCTGCCAGGAAGAGTAATATATTTTCTAGGCCTAATGGAAAGCACTTCAACAACACAAAGACAATTTTTATGTTTTTATTTAGCTGTTACGACAGTAGTTAATAATAATAATAAACCACTTCAATGATTCAGTCGAGGTTTATCACAGTCAACAGAACTTTATGCGAATACAAACTTTCTTATAAAATAACGCCAAGTTCCATATTACTTTATATTGTACACACTACAATGTACTCAAAATTTACTATCTGGAGCGAGTGTTCACGATCATTTGAGGTAAAATCAGGTTTTGAGGTTAATATCGTCGTTAGCCGATGTGTTTCACATTTGAAATCTGGATTTTCACACGAAATTGGCAAATAATGAAATGTACTACAAAAATATTGGAATTGGTATTGGATTATCATTATAAATAGGGCAGGGTGGGTAAATGTTCACTTGATTTTCAATTCCATAAATCCATATTATATTCCATATTCGACGTGTCTCATTTTGATTTGTAAATACGATGACGTCATTGGCGGGGTCATAATTGGCGGGGTCATAATTGTCAGGGCCAAATTGATATCATATTCTTACGACTGATTTGAATGTTTGATTCGGATTTGCATGGTTCAGTAATTCAGTCAAATTAATTCAAAATTTTTACCCTGCCAATGACGTCATAGATAAGTTCACTGAAAACCCAGATTAACTCAAATCATTAAATTGTTAAACCATTAAACTTTAAACACTTAAATCAGGCATTTAGCACAATATACCGTAGTTTCATTGTTAACAAATCGATATATTTCACAAAATACTCAACAGCTACAAATTCCTTAACAACTCAAATTTTACACTCGCTTTTCACGAAGACTCACTCCAATTTAATATATTAATAATAATAATTTATTCAAACTCTAAATAGAAATATAAATAATGATGTTAATCTTTAAAAGTCACGCGTAATTGTTAAAACACTATATATCAGTCTTTTTTTAGAATATTTTCCACGTTTTTTCTCACATCAAAAATGCTTGTCAAAAGAAAGCACGATACTTATATAAGATATAAAAAATTACAAACTATTTAACAAAACTCTCGAATGACGGCATAAACGCCGACATTCCATGCAAAACTGCTAAAAATGGAACTTAATAATTCCACACGCGGAACTCATATCACGCACAAAAATATTTGATTAGGAATGTTAAAAAGAAAATGAAAAACACTAACTTTAAGAAAACTATAATACTCCCAAAAAATAACAAACGGGTCCCAAATTTTGGAAGCAGTTGAGATCCCACAAAAGAGGATATATAAATAAACTAAAAAATATATAAATTGCAATGCGTGCTTATTGCGCCATTTTTCTGTGGGAAGACGAATTACCTTTTGTTAAATTAACAAAGAAGTTTTCACATTGAAATAAATTGATCCCCTACATCAATTTTAATACAAATTTACAAGTACAAGTTCTGAATAGTTTCAATTTCAATTTCGAAAACGAAACCTTAGTTTTCCGGTATTTCAAGTAATTGTCCAACTTTACCAAAGATTTGTGAAATAAAAATAACAGGAAGACAAAATGAGGGAATCGGTATGTGGTATTTACGTCTCACTACAAGCAAAATACACAATTCAAGAAGTAGGTCAACCACCAACTAGTCAAAAATATTTCAATAAAGAAATTACTGCCGAAAGGTTTTAAACATGCAAGGACTTGTCCAAAACGTTCTCCTAATATAGAAAATTACTGCCAAAAGTTTTACCCAAATTCAAAACGCACGCTTCACCACGAAAACTGACACACGTAAATAAAACACGCCAAAGCAATCGATAAAGATAGCACTCAAAAATAGGACACCATGGGATATTCAAGAACATTCATGGTCATTTATGGATATTCACATACATCAAGGGATAATCAGGAGTGTATTGCCAGGATCACAGACCCACCTTTTCAGAATGGTCGAGTACGCCAGGTACATCTGTCGTTTTATTCAGCGGCACACAGAGTCAGAATCCAAACAGGCCAATCGTCGAGCTCGACGCCGTTTTACTGGTACGAGTCTTGGGCTTGTGATGACGTAATCCTTCAATAGAGTGATGCCACTGCCAGCATGAGCGACAATAGTACTTGAAGCATGACAGTTCACGACAGAAATAAGGACCTGGGTTCGTGTGACAGGTACCGCATATCGAGTCTTCTAAATAAGGATCAACCTGAACCTGACAAAATATATGAATTGGATAAGGGTCCGTGATCTCACTTTTCAATACCTGGCGACCTAACCGAGCCCTGGGTATTGTTTATATAAATGCAATTATTTACACACGCAAAAACGCAACAAGCTGTAACAAGGTTGTTGTCAACCCGATGTCAGGGTGTGTTCGCATCGCTTGTTCCAAGTTGTTGCGAAAAGTCTGGAACAAGTTGTTGTTATCACCTTGTTGTTCCAACAAGACTAATACAGGCTGTTCGTAACATGTTGCTACGACTTTGTCGCTATCAATATGTTAACAACTTGTTACGCGCAGACGATATCAGACTTGTTGGAACAACTTGTTGCGAGTCTGTTGGTCTCATCAACCTTGTTACAAGACGATAAAAACTTGTTCCACACTTGTCAACAAGCTGTGAGATTTCTTACTTTCTTTGTAAACTTGGGTGTTTTCAACTCAATGAAGCCTGCACAAACAGCTTTCATGTAGCTCTTGTGATTGTTGAACGTCACACGACCTGAACCTACAAATAAAAAAAGAGTAATAAAAAACAAAGCATGAAATCGTCGATTCCATGCTTCAAATTTAAGTATTGATTAAAATTTTATACAAAAACGCAGTATAATGTGAATAAACAATCATAAAACTTACCAATTGGATATTTATGTTTATCTGTATCGATACCTGCGTAGACAACTCCACCAAAAAGATCTTGCATGATGTGCGCTAAACCCTCTGAATGGCAAATATAATGTTGATGACATCATGAAGAGTTTGCAACTTGGAAATCAAACAATAATACAAAGTTTCTTTGCAACTTTGCATTTTTAATGCGTTTGCCAAAAAAGTTTGACGGACGGCACAAAAACGTTCAGAATGCGGGGTTTTAAATTTAATCATTTGCGCACACCGTTATCATTAAATTTAGCTCCAAGAGGAAGTTAACGGCATGTCAAGGCAACTCTTAGATGAACTACATATATTGCCTACAATCTACAAGACCAGGCCATAGGGCTTCGTTTATCCGAGAATATTTTTTCCAATAGGATTGCTGTGTATTTTAGGCCCAGGTCCAATATTGTACTTGCTCTACCGTGACGATGTTTTGACATTCGAATGTTTAAACGGAACAACACCTAAATCTATATCTCAGCAATTTGTGAGGAGAGCCGAAATTAGTGGACTTTGTATGAGGAACTCGAGTTTTTTGAACATCCCCTTTTTCAGGGGTGCAACTGGCCAACGGACATTCTATTACCGCGCTGTCTCCTTATGAAACGAACTTCCAGAGAACATTAAATGTAGTTCATCAGTTAACATTTTTAAACATAAATTACGTAAATACCTTTTAGGAAATTATACATAGTAGCATTTAGCCTTTAAAATCCATAGTATAACTTTTTGTAAATGTAATTTAATTGGCTCCGAAAAGCCCCGTTGGGGATATAATAAATTATTGTATCGTATTGTAATATTTATTATTTGAGCAGAACGTCGGCGATGTTTTGGACTCGTTTGGGGATATAAATTCACCAGTTTAAAAACTAACCTGCATTAAGCATGCCATGTAATCCTCCAACAAATACAGTTTTACTTGGATCAAGTTTTTGATATCGGCCACAAACATAGTTACTGTCGACCAACACCCAAGGAATTACCTGCACCTTAACACAGGACAAGATTTAAGAATTAAAATGGGAAATCATTCGTTCTCTTAGACCATTGTCAGTCCAATATCACGTTCCTCTCATGTTTAAACTAAAACGCAGACGATATCAGACAATTTTTGCTTTCAGAACCATTGTCAGTCTAATATCACGTTCCTCTCATGTGTAAACTAAAACGCAGTCTGGTAAATTGCTAATATATTGGAAAAATATCTTGGGACTTTTAGACCCATTAAACATCTCCCAAACTTGAAATAAGTTTTGGACCTCGATCATTTCCCCAAATGTTAAGTGCAACCTTGCAGTCAGAGTGAAGTTGCTGAGTTGAATCCCTGACTTACTTCCTTACAACGGATACGTCGACTTGACAACTGAAAGTACCAATCTCCTCCATTACTGCAATCTTGTGTGCAAGATGACAACAATGCTTTGATGGATTTCTCAGAGTCAAACACCAAGTAAACATAACCTAGATTGCAGACAACAACAAACTTATTACATCAAACTTATTATTTACGTGGTGTTTCCACAAACAAAAAGTATGTTTTATTGTCATGCGTTTCTACAAAGAAGTTAACAACAAACTTAGTACATAACCAGATACATGATGCACAAGGAAATATTTGCTGGCGACCAGACATTTGTCAACGGTAGCCGTCGTGGCAAGTGAGACAAAAATAAATGATCAAGTTGTGAAGCCTTAATATATCTCCGTATATCTCAAGTACTTCATTCTGCTTTTGCATATAATTTTCCGACATATTAAACAACTGGTTTTTTTTATGTTATTTTTATACAAAGACAATACTTTATAAAACCAACAGAATACTTTATAAAAACAACAGAAAACGAA